GTTTTTTTTTTTTTTGTTTTTTTTTTTGCCTTTTTTTTTTTTTTTTTTTTGAGAGAGAGAGAGAGACTTTTGCTATACGGTGTGTATGCTTGTTGGAGAGACACAGACACAGAAAGTGAGAAATCACTCCCCAGGGAGGATGGCCACACTCAATCCCTTCTCCTCCATTCTCTCAGGATTTTGGGCACACATGCACATGTGCCTGGCATGAGTTTCAAGCCGCCAGGTCCAGAACATAAATCGCATTAGGCCACATGAGTTCAGAGCCTTAACCATATGCCACATGTTGTCCATTGGTTTTGCTTTATCTTTAAAAAAATAAATTGATATGGTTCTTCATGAAAGATAGAGGAAAAGAGAGAGCAAGCAAGGCACCCACAATAGGGTCTCCACATCCAGCTTCGTCTCACCTGGGTCATGGGCGTGCACAGAAGTTCTGGGATTGTCTACTAGGACCTTTCACATCTAAACCCAGTTGTGTCACCACTGGGCCACTGCCTGACTTGAAGTGGCTTATTTCCTTGCATACATTTTTTTTAAAAGAACTACTTATTTGATTTTATTTATTGTTATTTTTAATCTGCTCATCAGAGAGAGACAGAGAGAGAAACTGAGAAAGCAAGCTGCCAGTTCTGGGACTTGAACAGTGGTTGACCATGTGGGAGTTCAGCACCTAAACCACCATACCACCCACCAGCCCCTCATTGCATACATTGTAAACTCTTTAATGTGTATCTGAGGGGCCAGTAGATGGTATAGTGGTTAAGGCACTGGACTCCCACATGGCAGATCGTGGTTTGAGTTCCGGACTTGGTGGCTTGAAACTCATGCCAGGCACATATGCAAGCATGCCCAAAATCTCAAGAGGAAAATAGAGGAGAAGGGATTGTGGCATGGCAACCTCCCCTGGGAGGAGGAGGTGATTTCTCATTTCCTTTCTCTCTGTCTGTCCAATGAGTGCACACGTTGTATAGCAAAAACCTCTCTCTCTTTAATACATAAATATATATGTGTGTGTGTGTGTGTGTGTGTGTGTATATATATATATATATAATGGTAAACCTCTCTCTCTTTAATACATAAATATATGTGTGTGTGTGTATATATATATATAATGGTAATCTCCAAGAAATTGTTGTATTCTGAAAATTGCCAAAGAAAACCAAGAGATAATGAAAACTCCAGGAAAAAAAAATGGAAAATTTGGGGAGGTAATGAGAAACAGGACAAGTAATCAATAATTTCAGAATCTGCTTTCAATAAGATTTTATTCTCTGTATGTATGAATGACTAATTGTGATTCAGTAACAAGCAGTGGGGAAAACGGT